TAAATAAACACGTATTTGGCTTTCATTATTGACACATACAAAAGTTTCAAACACCCTCTTGCACTCTGTCTCCTTGCAAAGATGTTTATGTTTGTGATGTTTCAGTGTTAGACCGTCATCATGCAAAACTTTTTTCTTTTGCATGATGGTTTATATCTTGTGGATGTATATTTTAGGTGCAGCAAGCCTGTCATTCTCTGTCTCTTATAAACACATAGCCCTCTAAATTTTATGATTAAATTACTGTGACAAATCGAGCGTGTTTTATGTTGCTGGCAATCTAGAGTGGATTTGAACTGATAAACACAACTTGTAATTAGGGCTGTAAAGATTATTTTCATTATCTCTGAATCTGAAAAAGTTCAGGGTTCAATTTGTGGAAAAGATAGAAATCCAAACGGCCACAGTAGCTTCTTCAGGTTGCTTGTTTTGACTGACCAACACTCCAAAACTACTAATATTCAATTTACAATAAATAAAAAAAAGTTGCAAATCGTCTTATTTAAGAAGCTTCTAGAGGTTTATTCAGCTACAGTTACAAGAAAACCACTCAGTTTGTAAATGAATTTCTTCACAATGAATTATTTTTATTTTATTTAAAAAAAAAAACTTTTTTACTCTACTTGATATCAAAATGGAAATAAACTAAATCTTAAAAGCAATATCGGACTCAGATAAATAAAAGATTAGCTTTTATCTCGTGCTGAAGAGAACAAACCTGTGATACGATAAAATTTCCCAATTTACTTTTACTATATGTACAAATTGCTGCTATTACTTTGATAATATCTTGGATTTACTACACTTGCTTTTTAACTATCTTATAACAATTACTGTTTATTCTACTCACAACACTTGCTTTTGTTCTTTTATCGTTCTTTAAAAGTTCTCTTCATGTCATTTTATGCACCAAATCACAAAGTCAAATTCCTCATATGTGAAAACCTACTTGGGGAAAAAAACACACACATTCTAAATCTGAGTCTGAGATCAGACAGTTGCTTTGCTTCTTTCAAATATTTTTCCTTTCTTTTAATCTTTGTCTTTTCATATTTTGTGTTTGACATTCATTTTATGTGCATGAATGAATATTTTTTGTGCTCCAAACCTGCTCGCTTTGAAATTCCCTTTAAAGTGTGAACATAATATTTTTAAATTAATAGTTAATCAAGATCAGAACCACCACACAGTTCGCTTAATGGAGTGACTCTTTTAATTCACTTACTCTTTGGCAGCGTTCTTGTGCTGTGTGGAGTAATGACGGCAAACAGTTTAAATGATGTTCTTACTTGCTCAGACCACGTTTCCCATAAAGCTAGTATGTTATTTCCCAGTGCAAATTGTTTTGTCCTGGTTGTTAACACGTATGATTTTTACACATCGTGAATATAATGCAGCGCCTTTACTCTGACACTTGCATCCTGTGTGTGTTCATGTTAGACTGTAATATAGTTGTATACGAATTAAGAAGGCGGATGTTTGTCTCTGGCACTCCTGCCTTTGTTTTATACTCTTGTGCCGTCGCTCCCAGATATTGCCTGACACACCTTGGGCTCTCTAATGAAAAATGAATGTGGAAGCGGACAAGAGATATCGCTTTACTTCTGGCAGTTTTCCTGGCTGTTGGAGTGAGAAGACGAGGCCTTATCGCCGTGTGTTTATCCACTTCAGAAACTCAAGAACAGTGTAGGTTACAACATCAAGAAGGATTGGGTTTTACTCCACTTGCTTTGAAGTGATGGGAATTTGTTTTCTTTTTTATTCAACCATTGGCAATGTAGTAGCTGAAAACATCGCTGAAAGTACGATATGAAATATGTCAGACAAAATATTGTACAATACCACCGCTTTCTGTGGTTCTATAAACTTACTGAATTAAATTTAATATCCTTTACTGGCAACTGAAATTAGTAGAGGAACCTAGGGCCTTGTCCACAAAACTAAAATAATTCCTTTCGGCCCTAAATTAGACTTAGATGTAACGGATTCCGAAGAATAGTAATGACAGAACATCCCACTCTGCAAGCTGTCTGGATTGGTTCTTTAGTTTTGTTACGTATGAAGCCCTGGAAGTCTGAATGTGTGTTTTGGAGACTGTTGTTAGTATTATTAGTACCCTGCATTTTCAAGGTGGAAACGTTTAGCTGTGGTGTTGACTGCATGTTTTGCTCATGATGTTTCTTTTAGGATATAAAAAAACTCCATGTAGACATGATGCATTATACATACGTGTTTTTCACCGGAGGTCTTCTTTAAATCATATTTTTTCCCTCTTTGTTGAAGATATTCAGAAACTTTAATTCAGATTTTCTAGCTTGTGCGTTGAGAGTGTGCGCTGCTTCCACCTTTGTTTACATGCGGCGGTGTTGAACGCTGAACTTGCTAACTGTACTTTTTATGGGTTTACACAATGCACCATTACTCTTCCAGTAAGTTGAGCAACAGATGTGTCGGTTCTTCCTTGTTGGCAGCCTAATTGGAGCGATAATAGTTTTTTCCAGCTTCTTTTAGCCAACATGACTTAGCGTTAGGGTCATATCTGTCTGTTGGTTTGCTTGGCAGTATTTCAAATGTGCTTTCATGTGTAGAGAGATTTATTGTCAGTCAGTTTTTATCTGAATAGCATTGGTTTAAATTTTAGAGGGGATGGAGGGCATATACTTTTGTGGTATGTGTTACTCAAAATATGAATCATGAGCTACTACAACATTGTATTTATGGTAGAAAACGTAGTAAGATTCGTATATATTCCTCTATATGTTGAATTGTCACCTGGTGCCTGAATCTTGTGTTTGCCTTTACAGAAAATTTAATCATAAATTAATGCAGAAAAGGCACAAATTGGTGCATAAAAATTTACCAGAATGCAGGAAGTTGATGTTTGACGCCCAACTTAATGCGTCCTCTTCTCAATATTGAAATGAAACCTGTGCCGACAGTGGATGGGATTTTTTTTCTTTTGGAAAAAGAAAGAGGAAAAACTAGGCAGGATACAGATTTGGTTAATTGTAAATCTTCAGGATATTTGCGTCAGCGTGATGTTTTCTTGATTTGTTGGGAATTTAAGTCCTCATTATAAAGCCAAAAATAGGCATTCTTGTTATTTGGTGTAAACATTACCCCTTAGGGGAATTGCACAGCATACATTGCTATTTATGGATGATTACATAAGCTCCAATTTTCTTTTCATTACTTGCTACAATTTTCTAGAGCAAGGTGACATCTCCATATTGCTTCACATTCACCAAAAATAGCAAAACCTCCACTTTTTGAGGGGATAAATTGTTATTTTTACTTGATTATCTGTAGATGAAGTAATTGTTTGAGTACCTCTGGCTTCACCCTGCAACTGTTAGAGAGATTGTATAAGAAAGAAGACTGTGAAAAGTAGTAAAAACAGGAGCTAAAGGAGCTTATGAAGTAGTTTTTTACTACTTTCTGTTCCTTGTTTCCTTTCTCTTCCCCCTACTTCAGAATAAGTCCTCGTTAGACCAAGTGGAGGAGGAATATTTGGGAGAGAGGGTTTAATTCATTGGGGAGAAGGTGACTTATTGAAGAGGAGGGATTTCTCTTTGCCTCCTCAGCTCAGAGACCTATGCAGAGAGAAATGAAAGGAAAAAGCTGGTGGCTGAACACAAATTAGTAAGAGACAGCAGGACAGTGAAAGATTTATTTTATGTGGGGAAAGTTGGCAGCACTTTATCATTAATGTCAATGAAAAGCTAAGTGCTTTGCTCAAGGGCATCTTAGCACTATATGTAAAGAAAGAGGAGGTTGTGTTTCATTTATTAAGACTCTCACAGATCTTGGTGTTCCAAGCAAGAAACTTTATGGTCACAAGTTGTGTTTTTTGCCCTGAAATCTTCATCATTGACTGGTGGTGTGCTGTTTTCCTCAAAAACAACGGATATGGATGTTTTGCAGCTGCAGTGTTCCTCTGGTTTTGCGCCCATGCACCAGTTTTTCTGTCAACTTTGTACTCACTATGGGCTAATTTGTCAGTGCAATATAACATCCTGCACCTTTGTGGCTTGAAGGAAAGAGAACTCAATTAGGTTTTTTGTGCAGTATAACATATGAAACGGCATAAATCGTAAATAACAGTTTGAAAGTTGAATTGCTTTAATTGTTAATTTTATAAGAATTGAGAGATTCTGGAATTAATATGCACAAAAACAGATACTGAAAAAAATGGTGGCTCCACATATTTTAGATATTTTACTGCTTACGTTTTTATTTTAACATTCTTATCTCCGATGTGGTCTTTGTTAACACTACCTGCAGTTCAGCCAAAAAGTTCCTCAATTTTTGTCACGAGCAGCTTAGAGCATCATGGCTTCTTGTTTTTGCCGAGGACCACAGGATTTTTAGAGAAAATCTTTAAAAAATGCGTCTTTTGCATGTCGAAGCTCTAAGACCCAGAAGGAGATTTTTTTTCCCTTTCTACCTTAAAGAAGAACAGACACAAACTTAGGTGATTTTCAGGCTAAAAAATGTTATTTTTGCCTATTTTTTAAAAAATGAAACACATAAAATAATAGAAGTTCAAGATACAAGGCTTGGATTATGTGAATTTTCCAGACAGAGCTGAACAGTACATCTGATTAGTTCCAAGGACTGTCTGAAACAAAATGTTATGTTTTTGCGTTTATGTTGGTTCTGATAAATGTTGTAATTTTAGCCGTTAAAAAAACATAAAAAACATTCCTTTCAGACAGGCAGGTTTTAGGTTTCAGAGAGTTACATTGCTGAACAGGAATCAATAAGGAAATGAAATTATCCGGTTTTGGCTCAACGTTTGCCTTTGTGGCCCGAGTGTCACATTGAAATAGGAAGCAAAATCAATGTGGAAAAGCGGATCCAAAAAGTCAGCAGCAGCCATTTCAGGTTCTCTTTCTTCTTCACTGCCTCTTTTCTTCTCGTCTACCTTTTCTTGTTTCTTTCTTCCTCACCGGTGACTCGTAACCTTCATTTTATCTGTCTCTCTCTCTCATCCACAGTCCACTGCACTCCTGAGAAACCTTGCTGCTCTTCTCAGGCATTTCTTCCTCCTCGCTCGCTGTTCCCCCGACTCCAGCTCCCAGATAACCTGTGGGCATCACTCAGCGTGCCTGGAGCCTCGGGGCCGACAGACTGAATCAGGCGCTTCACGCACCGGCTATCATTAGAGGCTCTGTAGGAAAAGGTGAGCGTTTCTTTGCAAAAAAAAATGAATGGGTCTGTTTATTCAGACCTGCAGGGCGCATTGACATGAATCGGTGCTCTGTGTGTCGGAGTCGGGAACATTACGCCCTGTGTGGGGTGTGTGCACGTGAAAATTTGTGTCAGGGGATGGGAAAAGATTTCTTGTTGTTGAAATGCTTAGGTAATATTTTCCCACTCAGACTCAGAATCGAAATTTTCTTCTGTGTAAGTTACAAGAAAAAACAATCACAGCTTGGTTGGTGTTTCTTTACTCTGGTATCTATCGCCTGCGTGTCGTCTAATGAATGTGTGCTGCAATTTTCTGTAATTGCCTGTAATTGTCTGATCCCACTGAATTCCTGCTTCCTCTGTGTGCTTTGTGCTACAGTGGCCCTTTGTGTCAACTTGTGTGTTAAATCTTTCATTAGCTTCAGCCCCCTACCTACTAAACAACTGGATTTCAGATACCCAAAGGCTTTGTTGTCAGTTTTCTTTATATGAGACATTTACCAGCAATAATTGAGACTATTCAAAACTATTGAATGCCAGAATATTGGCACCAACAGCTCGATACTTATCATTTGCTCAGTTATCACTTAATTTACCTCAGATTTTTTATCAGCTTTTACAGTACAATTCAGTGTCGGGTCAAATCTCAAATTTTAAGGGCAATTTCTGTGGGACCATGTCTGATTTGCCTTAACTGTTTATAGCATAAAATATGGCCATTTTAAAGCTATTTCTGAAATTTTAGATTGATATATCAAAGATTTTCCAAGATAAAATTGTTTTTAAAGTGCAATTTGATCCAATCAGACAGCTTCCACAGTGATCATGAGAATAAATTAAATTAGTAGCAAGTCTTGCAGACATTATTAAATTAAATTACCAATAAATGTATGTCAAGGCATGAAAATTTCCATCTAGAAAAATCCTCCTACCCCAACAGATCTATGTATTTGGTCACGGTTATGTTATACCGATATAATGACCTAATGCAGTAATAATTCACAAAGAAATTACGGCAAACTAAATGACAAGTTACTTCCAAACCAACACTGATCTCGACAAAGTGGGGTCCAACAATTTAAAATATGCCCATATAAAAAATAGAATATTATTCTAAGTTATATCTAGAAAACCATTTTGAAACAGCAAAACACTTCTACATGGATTAGGCCATCTACCAATATTTTTGATTTTGTTATGCAACTTTTTGTACCTGCTCAATCAACTTTGTTTCATTTTTGTGATCAAGTATTTTATATTAATTAAGTATTCTATATGGTTTGTTTTGTTCTTGTAACATGCAGCTAAATATGGTTCAGAAAATATCGCTAAATCACTTCTGCATTATCTGTTTTTTGTTTTTTTTTGTTAATATGTGCACAAAGATAGGACCTTTCATATTTCAACTCACCCACGATCACAGATTATTTCATCTACTTGTCCACGTTGACGGATTCTGTTTCATGACATGATGAGAAACAACAATGAGAATTTCAGGCTTTTATCTTTAACAGCTTATGACATGTTGCCAGTCAAACGTAGCTTCAATTTCAGCGTTTGCAAAAATGTAATGAAAGTGGGTCAATTTACAAAAAACAAAAAAGCTCAGAAAGTCGTTAATATATCAGTCTGAAATTACACAGATAGCATTTTAAATATTCATAGTTTATGACACAAGAGTTTCAAGCAAATCAGAGCAGAAGTCCCCAGATGATTTGAGACGGAATAACCCTGTTTCTCATTAACAATATCTGGATGCTTCATGCATTCTGTGTTTCTTATCCAAATGCATTGTGTTTGTGTGTCTGCGTGTTGTTGAAGCTTAATGAACATGTTAAAGGCTCACTCTGTATCAGGTATGGCTCAGTTTAACTCAGATTTATGTGTTGCTTTACAGTGCTGTTTCTCTTTGAAGATAAGTGGATTCTTTTCTCAGAAAAGTAAAGTTGCATTCAGCACTTCTCAATAATAGTAAAAATATTAAATGCACGTCTTTAGTCATAAAAACATTCACATAGCTGACTTGTGAAATTATTTAAAAGCCATAATGTTCGCACTCCTCACTTGCCTTTGTTTGCTGGCAGGAGTGCACATAGGCCTGCCACACTTATTAAATAATGTTGTGGAAATACTGCCATGGCTTTTATTACCTTAAATATTAAAGCAAACACTTTGCTGGCTTGTTGGCAAATTTAATATCCTATATAATGTGGAGGATAACGGCGTTCATCTTGATTCTCAAAGGAGGAGCCCGAACCTAACAGCTTTTATAGGGAACAGAAATTCCTTTTTGTTGGACGACGTACATAGTTCTTTACGTTTAACCCGGTAATCACGTCAGTTTTACATACTTTACCAAGAAATGCTGAGTGAGACTTTCCGAAGACAAAACGCCTCCTGGGGATGGAAACAGTTCTCATTAGATGGACCTCTTGAAACACAAACATGCTGAGCTGGTCGAAAGTCGCTCCATTAGCACGACATTGTTTTCCCAGAAACAAAAATGCATACATATAGATTGTTTAACACAAAAATGAATGATAATCTACAGCTTACAATTGATTTTTACTTGAACAATATGATAATTTCTTTAAGCTGACATCATTGTGATAATTGTGTCCATTAACCTGTATAAAGCAGCTGCATAAAACAAACAGACATGTCATATTTTAATCACTATTTGTTTGTTGTTTTCCGATTTTTGCCCTCTTTTTCTCATCTATGATTTAATGGCACCAACTGTCTATCTTTAGGCGCATAACCTGAACTTAAAAAGCTGCTTTTTGATGAGCACCTGTTGACATTAATGTCATGGATTTGGTTGCAAAGCCAAACACTACAGAAACTGCTGTGAGCACATTTTGATTTTAGGCCAAATGAAAAAAGGAAGAGCCTAATAATTTGGCGCAATTTGTCAGATTTGCAGCAAAAAGGTGGTGTTCAGGGGTGCTAAAACGCCTCATCTTAAAGTAACAGAGGCTTACAATGAGCAGATAAAAACACTCTTTTATCATTATTGAATTTCCCTTCTGGGATAAATAAAGTATTTTTAATTTCATTTCATTCATTTCATTCATTTCATTCATTTCATTCATTTCATTCATTTCATTTCATTAGTTGTAGTTGTTTGTATGGCAATTTATCCCTGAACTACAATTTCATGATCTTGACAGCTGTATGTGCGCATGTGGACATCCATGTGCATTGAACAAAATCAAAACCTACTCTTGCTCCATAAAGCCACCAGCAGTCAACAAAATCCACAGGGGAACATTTTTTAGGTTAAAAAAGAAAAAGAAAGAAGAAGATGCCATTGTGCAGAGTGTGAAACAAAACTGCAAAAAAATGCCTCTTGGCTGAGGAGAACACTCATATAGTGTGTGAATGTAACTCTAAAGCTCACATTTATATAGTGTTAACCAGGCACCTTTCCATGTTTTCTGATACTGACTGTATTACTTTTAGTTTTAGAAAATCACAAACACAAGCAGTTTATAGTCAAACAGTACACAACAGCATCACGCACCATTTCCAACACATAATAAAACATGTTTATGCTCAAATACTAACGTGTCAAAGCGTATGCTTTTGCTATTTATACTAAAGCTCAGGTATGATGCTGGCGCTGGATGTGAAGAACTCCAAGCTTCAAATAGATATACAAATGTTTTCCTAAAAAGCAGCGAGTGAAAGCTGAGTGTAGATAAAACTGGCTCCTCCACAGTAGTTTCATAGGTTTTTCTTCTTCTCCTTTTTCCTCCCCAGATCAGCATTTTCCATCCTCTAAAGAAGCCATGATCATCTGGTCCTCTCATGGCCGTGCCACCGCGACCCTCAGCCTCCTCCGCTCCCAGCCGGCGTTCATCCTGACCCTGGTTCTGCTGCTCTGCCCGGCGGGCCAAGTGACGGGTCAGAGTCAGACGCAGTCTCCTGCCCAGGTGCTCCAGGACCTGCTGGCCCGCTATGGAGACAACAGCACCATCACAGTGCCTCAGCTGCGTTCTCTGCTGGCAGCTCTCAGCCAGGGTCAAAGTGAAGAAAATGATGGCGGCAGCAGCGGTTTGCCAGAGACGACAACAGCCACACCTCCCAAATCCAACAGCTCAAAGGTGAGAATAACAGCATTTTTATATGTTACATTAGCTCTGAAGCTGAGATTGGTTAGGGTCAGCACCAGGCTGGATACCTGCAGGAAGTTATGTAAAGTTTTCTGGACAAAGTAGTATTTTTAACATCTAAGTCAGCTAATATTTTGAAGCCAGATTAGCTGCCAGGATATTTCTTTTTAATATGAAAGCATTCTACACAACTTTGCTAATACATTTTCCTGAACTGACACTAATTCTGCAAAAATGTGCTCGCCATCCCAGCATAGAATAGAAAAACCCAGCTTAAACCAGGACTGTTGACGATGTTCTTTTTCCTCACAGCAAAAATGAAGGAAAATTTGGCTTAATGTTGGTGTAGTGAGTAGCAGCATGGCTGGAAATTGATTCTGCCAAACAGTCTACTTTAAAAAATGATTGGAATTTATTAGGGATGCACAATATATTGGCGACCACATTGGTATCGGCCGATATTAGTGTTTTTTCCAATATATCGGTATTGGTGTGATGAACAAATTTAGCCAATGTGAAAAAACGATGATTGTCTAACATTAGCGCCTTCGTCTCTACATTTGATATTGCTGCTATTTCATAGATGTTTTTATTTAAATGGTCCTGGACTTGAACTTTAAATATGTTAAAATATGTTTCAATATGTTTTAATTTTGTTATGTAATAAAGAAGACTGTGGTCTAATTTGGTATGGGCTTCTTTTGAGTAGTTTTCATATTCTCACAGTGCTTACTTATACTCACTGTGTGGTGTGAACAAAAATTGAATATCGGCTGTAATATCGGTTTTCGGCGAAATCAGAAATGTTAATATCGTGCATCACTAGAATTTCTGTTTCTGAATGTACTAGCGCACAGCTTCATAGTGATCGTCTGTGTGGTAACATATGGGTCGGGGCATGGGTATACTATATTACATTGTACAATATTATCAGGTCAGGGCACGTATGGATTTTAATTAGCTTTTTTTATGAGTAAGGTGTCGGTTCTACTGAGTTTTTAAGCCGTGTTAACAAAACTGGATACACCTGTAGCAACTACATTGTGGTTTTCCATTTTTATAATGTTATGCTTTCAAATTTATTTACCTTCAAGTCAAAGTAAACTTGACGTAAACATTAAAATGACTTACAACTAACTGGTCTCTGCTTCTATGGTGTGTCAGATATATGGCTGTAGAGATGTTGAGAAGGATGATATAAAACGAGCTAATTCACTTAAAACATCTAATGAGAACTGAAAGTTGATTGTAAGACTTTGGCAGCCTTCACAGTTGTAAATCATGTACTTTAATATTATTAAGTATTATTTATACATTCATGGAGGTCTGGTGACATACAGGCAGCTTCTCAGAAGTTGATTAAGCTTTTCTTTTAAGTCTGAACGAAAAGTTTAATGAAGATCCCCATTGAAAAAAAAAGTTTTTCATCTAGAACTAGCGTTAATCCATGTCTGGGAAACTGAGCCTGAGTGTTTGAGTTGTTAAATCTGCAAAGGGATCTGTGTTGACTGTCATCAGTCTAGTCAGGGTTCTGTTGCTCTGAGGCCAATATGAGTTACTTGAGTGGATCAGAGTGGAGCCAAATGTGGCTTTTTCGAATGTTGATGCATCGTTTTTACTGCCACTGCTGGTGTTTTTTCACTGTTTTGGTCATTTTTGAATGCCTTTTAATTTGGATCCAGTCCACTTATCCTTGTCCCAGCTGGGGACGAGGTTTTTTCTCCTTTTTTTTTTTTTTTTTTTATAAATCTTGAGTTTTGGCACATTTTTCAATGCGTTTAAGTTGTTTCTGTGCAGAGATGCTTTTCTTTTTTCACCTACTTGGCTCTGATGGAAAGCAGTGATGGGAAGTCTATTTATGCTTTTTCTGGTCTTAACAAACTGTACTTTATTTAACAAAATAATTTGTTGAGGATGACTGAAATCCTGCAGGAGATAGGATGTGTGTTCGGTTGTCATGAGCTGCTTTTCAGTGCTATCAAGTGTTGCATGCAGTGTTAGCAATAAGTAAACCGATAGGCGCCTAGTGTCTCTCTCACACCCAATTTGCTGCTTGACAGGTGAGGACAAGCTCTCAGTTGAAAAGTTGTGGTAAAGAAATTAGGCAGGGTCTGAAATGTAAAAGCTGAGTTAGACAAAAAAAAAAAAAAGAAAAGAAAAGCATCTTGGCTCGATGTCGGAATCTCTCGTGGTGTCTCTGCCCTGATGTATAGTCACATTTTTGAGGAGGTGCTCATTAGCTGTGGTTGCAATTACAGCGGAGCCTCTGCAACACCCTGAAGGAGGAGGTTAAATCCAGCTTTAGTCCTGTCTGGAAGAAGGTACCGGTGCCAGATAGCTGAGATTTTTAGCATATTTCCCATGCTTAGTGTCGTGGACGGTTGACTCACTTACTGGCTGATCTGCGTTTGAATAGACTGACTCTGAGTAATGGTGGCAAGGCTGCGAACACTTCTGAGAAAAAAAATAGTGGAATAGTGGAGGTCGAGTTCGGTGCAGGTCACACGTTGAATGTTGGAATTGACTCGCACTATTGTGTTGCTGTCATTACTAGTGTAAATACGACACAGGCAGAAGTAAAACTGCAACCTTTGGCCAACAACTGTCACTGCTCTCCCCATTTATTGAAGCACATTCTGCAACATGTGCTCGGTCACACGTGTCACCTGCACGCTGTAAAACTCTTCATCAGCCACTGAACACGTTGCAGGGTTGGTTTGGGTTGTTTGTGCAGAGAGCAGTGTATACAATGGAGTTTTGAATAGACTTCCTTCTGCTATTGTTGACTCTGATTTTTGTCAACATTTGGCAAAGTGGTATACACTCTGTGGTTATGTACTGAGTCACTGTCAAGAGCCTCATTTCTGTTTGATTCCGCTTCACTTTTCATGCCTCGGTGGTGAAATTTAACTGGCCTCCGGGTCCCATTATATTCATCATATATTAACCATGCATACAGCTTCATTTGTCTTTTAAATGTGGTCTTTAAGGATTAATTTCACATGTCTTATTCCTGTATATATCCTCTTAGGGGCTGCAAGGTAGGTGGCGCAGTTGGTTAGCACTGTTGCCTCGCAGCAAGAAGGTCGCCCGTTCGGGTCCCGGTGGGGGCACCGGAATCTTTCTGCGTGGAGTTTACATGTTCTCCCCGTGCAGCGTGGGTTCTCTCTGAGTTCTCTGGCTTCCTCCCACACAGTCCAAAAACATGTTGAGGTTAATTGGTGATTCTAAATTGTCCGTCTAAGTGTGGCCCTGTGATAGACTGGTGACCTGTCCAGGGTGTCCCCTGCCTTCGTCCTAAGTCGGCTGGGATAGACTCCAGCCCCCCACGACCCTAGTGAGGCTTGAACGGTGTATAGATGATGGATGGGTGGATATCCTCTTAGACGATTATTGGTTGGTAAACATTTTAATGCCCTATTATAACAACTTTCTTTAAATCTCAAGCAATTTTAGGTCCACCATCTTACAAAAGAAACTAAAGTCATTGTATATAGGATGAAAAATGTTTGCCAAATTATAATTTTATCGGAAATTACATATAAATTAAGGGAAACAGCCCAGATCTACACAAAAATCTGCTTTTTTTAAAATCCAAAAACAAGGAACCAGAAACAAACAGCTTACTGCATGTCTTTGTTCAGTTCACTATCAACTGATTTTCATAAACAGTTTGCTAATGCGATCGTAATGTAGTCACATCTTGCAGTGTACAAAACAAAAAGCTGTTTATTGAAAGCATATAAAATGGAGAACAGCAGTAAATCTTGACATTTGGGAGGCTGGAACCAATGAATGCTTGGTATGAAAAATTACCTCAATGCTTCATTTGCTGTCAGTTGCTTAATTTATTCCACTGGGTTTAAGGGTTTCTCTTGAAATGCGGAAGGGAGGCTGGTCATTCTGTCTCGTATAGTGGATTATTTTGCTTGAAATAGATTCTTGTGGATTTAGTGAAGAAATATTTTGTTTCATGATAATAAAAATGCCCATTTGGCTCATTTTTCTGCACTGAGAATGCAGTCGACTGGTGGAGTCGTTGGGCCGTATGCTCCAAGTTCATATTGGTCAGACAGTTGCTGGTGTTGTTTTTATCAGAGGAAAAATACTACATCAAATTTTTTTTTTTTTAGGATTAATCCATTATTTTTTTCAGAATACCCTCATGGTTTTACAACTCTAAACCTACCCAACCTGCTAGGAGGCTGCTAGGTTTGACTTATTTAACATTTACTCAACATTTATCGGCTCTAAACTAATTTACACCATGTTGAAGAAGTTGTGGCTGCATTTTGTTCAAACTTGAACCCAAAACGTTGAGTGTAATCTATGCAAACAGCAGCTTGTATATTACAGCTCAACAGCCAAACATGGCAGATCATCTAAAAACAGCAGCTCACTTGTTTGTGTTTACATTCCTAAATAGCTGCTGTTCTAGGATCACCAGTTGATATAATTCTATTTTCAGAAATCATATGACAATGTGAGTCTCCGAGTCTGCTCTCATCATTTCCGTAAAAATGACCATATAAAATGATTTAATATGCTGCAAATACTAGATTTTATGTTGATCTAGAATTCATTTTGGCTAATACGGTTAGCAGGTAGAGTGTGCTCAGTGTTTGCTTTAGTTCTTCTAGAAATTACATGCAGATGTTTTTTTTGTTTCCAGCGACTATTTGATTGGTTGAAGAGTAGATACAGTTTCTCTCGTTGACTACACATCTAACATTTATGGACAGAAAATGTCAAGATCTGATTTCATATGAATACAAACAGCAATGTAGGCACTCCAAGTCCATTTTGTTTGCATCTTTTTTCCCCTGTTATAGCTAATTTGCACCCAAGCAGATCACTAAGCGAGCCCGCCATCCAGACCTGCTGCTAACTACATCCTGCCTGATTCACGTACAGTAAAATGCTAACTTGTCTTGTCCGACGGGTTCTTCATTGGCGTGTTTTACATTTTCAGTGCTTGCCTGCGGACACGCTGGCTGTTTACAGCATCAGCGAGCAGTCTCGACTAGATGGGCCGGGCTTACAGGAGCTGTGCCCCACCATGCTGCAGCAGCTGGATGCTGGCAACTGTAGGGTGCAAAAAGAGGAGGAGCTGAGCGACGCCTCCCCCAGACCCACAGACGCAGAAGGTGAGCGCTGACTGGTTAATATTTTAACTGTTCATCTGTCATTTTACAGTCTCACTTAAATTGTACGTGCCATATGATGCATGAATGTTGAGTTGAGTTTTACATTTGTCTTGCCTGTTGGTCAAACTTTGCTTTCAGCTCCTTGAGATGTTTTATCTTTCTACAGCGTCTTTATCTCACAGTATATGGGTTTCATGTTACTCCTTTTGCAAGCAGTACATTTTTCTGTGCTCTCTCAGTTTTTACAACCACCACACTCTCTCTTCAGATATCACCAATGGGGCCTTGAAAACACTTTTTTTTTTCTCTCTCTCTCCATCAAGTCTGAGCTCCAAATGTGTGTTTTGTTGCCTAGAGATAGCGATATCATGATTTCCCCAAAGGAGATAAAAGCCAAAATAAGCATGCAGAGTTCACCGAGGCTCAGATTGCATTTCTCAGTTTGGCTCACAACCCAACACACCCTTCAGAATAAAAAAATCCTGCTTCAGTCAGCAGATCCGATGCGTAGGATAGATCTTGTCCAGGTAAAGACGGTCCAGGCAGGAGAGCTCGTCTTTCCTTGGACGCTGACTCACTGTAACCGCATACAGACTGCTGACTGTACACCGGCAGCAGGATGTCCTTTAGAGCCCTAAAGCCATTTTGACATGTGCATTCAATCTCAAGTTCTTGGACTCAGTGCAGGCTATTGTTTAACAAGCCTTTGACTTTTGTTCAAGTGAAGCTAAATTGGCTCTGGAGTGTGCAGCTGGTATAAAAAGCCTGCTAATGACAGACTCTGAGGTTTTTGGTTAACTCGTGTGATGTTTTGCCCTCAAGGCTGCAGCAGCGCCGATGTCTGAAAGCAGGCACAGCCTCGGGAAACTTCATTTGTTTCCACTTAAGAGAAAAATAACCGCTTTCTTTATGCATGTGATGACTGTGGACATCAGTCTTCATCTTCTTTGTACACTAATGACATTCGGATGCAGCCTCGCCACGCCAGCTCACAAATTCCCGTTCTTACTTTTAACCCAGTTTACTTCATCCTTGACAGGTGAAGAAGAAATGGCCCAGAGCGCCGGTTCTATCTCTCCCTCTCCACTGACAAATTTGTTTTCCCTTATCAGCCACTCATGCCCTCAGCTCGCCTCACACTTGCCCTTGTAGGCAGCTTATTTTGGCTTCAGAGCTGTTTTTCTTTGCCTGGGCTGTGGAGATTTGCCAGCAGCAGAGAGGCAGATGCCATGGAAATTCATATCGACTGCAGATCTCACTGACTTGTGTATGACTTACATCCTGATCCTTTCTCACCACGTACACGTAACGTTGTAGCTTCATTACATAACTCACATTAGATCAGATACACCTTTAAAACAAATCACTGGTCCTGTTAAAGTCAAACGTATTTTCTCCTAACCAGCAGCTTTTTAGCCGTTGTAGTCTTGTTGATTTAGCAGCATCTTCTCTTTAGTCCAGTACTTGTCTCTTGACTTTACACAGACTTGAACTGTTTCTCAGCAGAACTGTTTCACTTTGTGGTTTTCCAGTGTTCTTCATAATTGCCTTGGTTTCACCTCTTTCGAAGAAAAACCCTCCAGGTGCAGTAAATAACTCGAGGCCAGCTTCAAGACTGTGCTTTCGTTGAGGAGTTCTGTTAAGAAAAAGTAAATATTTTGTGTGTGGCAAGGTTCTGTTTTAGCAACCAGGTTATTTTCTCTCTTTACATGAGATTTCGCAATTGCATGAAATCTGTTTTCTTTGCCTTGCAGATGATACACAGTTCTGTATATCTTCACTTCTGGTCCTGAACCCTGTTGACAGCCTTGTAAATTGCATTCCTCAGTTGAATACAGACAAAACCAAGATTTCGCCAAAAGAAAGAACCTCATTTCACATCTCAGTAGGAAGGTAACGAGAACAGATCCAGCATTTACGATGATGGTCCGTGTTTTGCTATGGTTACTGAAGGTGCTGGAGATACTGGACAATAACAAAAAACACGAAGCAACAAGTGATGTGTAGACAAAAACAATACAGCAAGAGTCATGTTTGGAGATCCAGATGGGTGACAAATGGATGGAAAAACCCAGATAAAGTGTCTTAGTAGGGTGTTGGGCCACTACGTGCTGCCAGAGCAGCTTTAATGTGCCTTGGCATCGAATCCCCAACTCTCTGGAATTCTAACAGAGACATGAATCATGAGTCTTCCGAGAGAGATTTCCTCATTTGGTGTTTTGATGGTGGTGGTGGAGAGTGCTGTCTGACATGCTCGTCTGAAATCTCTCATAGGCGTCAAGTTGGAGTCTAACAGAGCCACCAGAGAATCTCGCTGTAGAGGGTTCAAGTTTTTCCTTCAATTTGTCACCCGTGTGTGTTTTCTGTTGGAGTCAGATTAATAGGGACAAGCTACAGATGACAGAATGCCAGAATGCAGATGGTGTCACAGAGGATTTGGGAACAAAAACAGGAAACACCTCAAACTTATTTAAGCAAAGGCAGGCGACCGGATTTGCAGAGAGAATCCGAGCACAGCAAGTCCAGTTGTTAACTTTATATTAAGAGCATGTTACTGTTATTGTTTACGAACTGCATCTGTTGTTGTGGCAACAGTACGCTGTAATGGAGATCAGGGTTTCAATGCAAATATTAGTCTTCATGTGGTCTTGACTAAGTATCCAGAACATTTTTTTAAATTAAATTGGGCTAGCTTGGATGTTCATTTGGTCACAATCCATGTCATGTTATTTGTTCACTTTTTGTCAATTCTTTTCCTTTGTAAAGCACGATTTTTTTTCACAACTTGTTGTACCCTCATTTGCCTTCACCACAGAACTTCCTTATCTTAATACTGTTTTCTTTCTCAGCATGGAGTTATCTCACACTGTTGAGCAGATCACACCTTCAATAAACACAGTAAATCTTTATCTTCCTATAAACTTTACAGGTGCTGCAAACTTAGAAGAGAATGCAACAACCTCTAACAACTCTTACCTTATTTTTTTCTACAGGTGTTAGGTCTTAAGAGCAGTAATTTGCAATTTTCTTTGATGTCACTCACTAAAGTGACAAGCAATGTTCATATATGGTTGTGACAACGATGTCTGCTTCTCAAAGTTTGATTTTATTTCTTTTCAGAGGCAGGACCAAGTAAAGCTGCTTCACAACATAAAATACTAAAAACAAAAGTCAGAAAAGTAGTTGCAAGTTGTGTGGCGGGGATGCTTTTCCTAATTTTCTATGCAGGTTTCTCTTTTGAGTCCCATACTGCAGGTTTAAAGGTCCCATATTGTTTTTTTTTGTTAGTTTTTTTAAGCAAATTGAAAGTCTTACATAACCCCACAGTTTCAGTTTTTCAACTCAAAATACTACAAATAGGGTTGATCTCACCATTAATATTAATAATAATAATAATGATAATTCATTTTATTTTGTATAGCACTTTTCAAGAACTCAAAGACGCTTCACAGGATAAAAGCAAAGCAACAAAAGCATTAAATAACAAGCAATAAATACAAAGGTTGACAATATTATGACCATTACTGCATAATCACTGGTTGTAGGGCTGCTCTAAACGAGCTGTTTTGCTCTGAAAACCAATGAGCTGCTGCTGTCGTTCCCGCCCCTTCGGGAAGAAGACTCTCTCTACACCACTCATTAACAGAGCTGAGTTTGAATTTGTAAAGCTGGGAGCCTATCCAGCTGTTGTGGGGCTTAAGCAATGGCACAAGTTAATGTCTTCGTGTCTTAGCAGCTTTTGTTTTACACCTCCACGTTTATAACAACCACAAACACTATAATCATATGAGACCTTTAAGCCCTCTACGTTAATGCAGTCTTTTTTGAACTCTGGAGTATGTGCTCTACATTTACATAAAAGTTGTTTGTTTTTTTAAACCCTAAAAAGCTGAAATATACGAGTCATTTTATAGAATATCAGCTGCTTGCATCTAAAATGTTGTCAGTGTCATTTATAGTTGATTTGTCACATTGAAATGTAAGAAAATGTTTTCTTTCCACAGTTAAACTGAATTTGTTCTTTTTCATACTGCATGTGTTTTAACGTTACTCCTTCCTCTTCCATCCAACGCTCCCGGCTCCAGTCTGGGGCTTTTCTTTCTTGAGCGTCACAGTGATCAATATGTTCTCCCTCACCGGAGTCTTCATCGTGCCTCTGATGAAGACGCGCTATATGAAATATGCGCTCACCTTCTTCGTTGCTCTTGCCATTGGCACCTTGTTCTCCACAGCCATCCTGCAGCTGCTGCCAGAGGTTTGCCATCCAGCCATACATACATCCTCACATCAACCCAGACATATTTGCTTTTTCTAAGCTCTACAGTAGAAACCCTCTCTGGTTTGCCACAGTGTCACATGGTTGTTCCAAAGAACAAAAAAACCCAAAAAAAACTGGTGCACCTTTGGCCAAGCGCTCCTTTGTCTCTCCTGTGGTCGTAGCCCTTTCCTCTTCCTGCCTTTGTTTTCTGGCTGTGGTTTGTTTTCTCAGGGCTCTAATAGGTGCTGCAGAAGGCTTTTTGGTTTCATTCTTCTCTCACAATCATCTGGTGGCATGTTTGTGTGTGTGTGTGAACTGTGTGTTTCCATCTGCACCTTTCCTGGCGTTGAGATGTAGGCCAGTCATGAGGTTTCACTGTGAGAGAGCGAGATAGTTCAGCTTCTTCTTGTGGTGCTGCAGCATGTCGAACAGCTAATCGGATGTGACAGCAGTGTTTCAGTGGCTTGGGCTTATAAGTTTCATTTTGTGTGAAACAGTCCTGGGAATAGGAATGTAGCACCCTGGCTATGCTTTTTGTTGTTGTTGTTGTTGTTGTTTTTATTTTATTTTTACTCACTGTTGGCTCAAAAGAAAAAGTCCTGCATCTCTATGGAAACAGCACAAGCATGGCTAGAAGTAGAAAGACCTCAGAAATGCCTCCTGTGCTGTGTAACACAGTTATAATGCCATATATATATATATATATATATATTTTTAAATCACTTTGTTCGATTATTCATTTTTTCAATTAAAAGAAAACAAATCTGGAATCAACATGTAAACCATTTTTCCAAGTGCCCACAGTTGTTACCAAAACTGGAGGGAAAAATGGTGACTTTACATACTGCAGGTCCTTTTTTACTTATATAATTTTTTTCCCCACACTTATCTCCTCTCTACTCTGTGTAAACAACGCCTGCAGTTCAAACAAAAAAATCCTTGAATTTTTTTTACATGATCATTGGTCACAACTGGGTCACGAATGTATTCACAGTTGCGTTGGGGAGTGGAAAATTTGGGATTTTGGGGGATTTTTTGAAAAAGAGACATGAAACAGAATCACTTTGATGAAATTTTATTGCTCTGCTTGTTTTTTTTTAAATTGTATTTGTATTTGTATTTTTTCTGAGTTCCATTGTATGTTGTATTGCTTTTATTGTAAGGCGACCTTGAGTGCCGTGAAAGGCGCCTTATTAAATAAAATGTATTATTATTATTATTATTATTAAATATCACAATGAGTACATCAAAGATTATTGTAAAGCAAAAAGAAAAAAGAAAAAAAAGGTGTTTCTTTCTGTTTTCCCAGTGACAAATGGTGTAGTTTTGATGATCATTTATTTATTTTATTTAAAGATGACATGCCTTTTGAACCCAACGGTGGATTTTGGGGTTCAGGGGGTTAAAGAGTCCTTCAAATTGAAACGTGACGTCTTGTTAGCGGCGCTCCTTGTGCTGCCGTCGGACTGTTTAAAGTTCATTTGCACCACTTTGTGTCTGCAGCGATAGCTAGTGTTTGGCCCGAGGCTGTGATGTACCTGAGTGGACTAGAACAAAGTGTGTGTGTGTGTGTGTGTAGGTGTGTGTGTGTGTGTGTGTGTGTGGAGGTGTATGCTTGTGGGTTCAGTAAACTGTAATTTCAACTTTATTGCTTTTTCTTCCTTATGAAAAGAAATGCATGGGGTTCGATCACTGCTTCAGAGGACTACCAATTACCTCCAAATACAAACGAACGGTGGTGTTTCTTCTCTCTAACTGTTTTCAATGAGCCTGTTTTCTCCGCTCACAGGTATCTTTTGAAATCTCTTTTTTTCTCAGGTTGATTTCATTCAATTCTTTCTTTCTTTTCCAGGGATTTAACTGGTTGGTGTTCTCTTAATTTATTTATTTTTGTTCCTTACCCTACTGATTAAGATCATTTCTAACACTAACTACTGCTTTGTCTCTCACCTTCCCCCTTCTTTCCACTCCGTTGATCAGTGTGGGGCTATGGGATCCTGTGTGTCACACTGATCTCTCTGTGTTCGCTGGTCGGGGCGAGCGTGGTGCCCTTCATGAAGAAAACCTTTTACAAGCGACTCCTGCTCTACTTCATAGCCCTGGCCATTGGCACGCTCTACTCCAACGCCCTGTTTCAGCTCATCCCAGAGGTAGAGTCGGTGCTGCTGCGACTCACTTATCTGCTTCACAGAGCCTCAGTGCAGGGTTTTTACAATGTTTAAGGACAGAGCATTGATATAAACATCACATATTGTTTAAAACCCTGATGCAATTGTTTTATCCTTAATCCTAATCACTTATAGATATCACTGTAAGTAGGGTAAGCTGTGTATAACATCGAAGCTACAGAATGATATGCTCTAATTCGTCCTGCCCAGCCACCTTAAGCACAACGTGAACTGAGCACTGAGCAGAACCTCCCCTATAATTCATGACATTCTTGTCACTGGAAATAAGTGTTGTATTCAGAATGATCACTACACATGTCAGATCAGATTTGCACAAAGGGCAGAATGTAAAAAGCATGTTCACATTCAACATAAAGTTTGTTTGTGTGCTGGAGATGCACACTAACTCAAAGATACTGGTTTCAGTGAAGGTAACCGCATTCGTGAAGGTAGGATTTATTGCAAGTTTTATTGTTGTATTGGATATAGATGAATAGATAAATAAATCTATTACTTATGGTCCACATGGGGGACTTTATGAAACACTTGTCGTCATGATTAAAAGTGATTCATAACTAAAGTGAACTTAATTAAAAGTATGTGTAATATAAAATAATGCTTGATTATAAGTGCAACAAATTTGAAGCAAACAAATAAATATGCCTTAGTTCTAGCTGCAGGTATCAAAAGAATTTTAACTGAGTGTAAATGATGGCACAGCTCATTTTCACAAAGTATCAGAAGACAATTAATATAAAATTATCAGAATTATGCTTGGATTGAAAAATGTTTTTTACAAAAAGGGAACAAAATAATAAAGAAGGTGTTTTTTGATTTGCAGTTTTGACGCTAATCTCCAAGTCACAGTGGATGTATTTCTGAATTCATCACCATTATGATCTTCTGTGAGCAACTTTTAAAATGATCTGACATCGTGAAGCTATAAGAATGTTTTTTTTTGTTTTTTTTTTGAGCAAACCCAGAATTTACAACAAAAACACTGACTACATTTATATGCACATAAAACAGGTGTTTATATGATATTTTATATAGTTATTGGAAAAAAAATCAGGTTAAGGCAATATCCAGGCTACTATCAAAGCTTAATTTATGTTTATACCTTATTAAAACCACCTGCCTCATATTGTCTGCGGTTCAAAACAGCTAAAATCCATCAGACAATGGATCTCTTGGGTCCAGCGGTTTGCAGGTTGAGGCCTCTGTTTGTCATTTAATCTGCCAGAATCCACAAATTCTTGATCAGATCCAGATCTGGGGAGTTTGGAGGGCGGATCCACACCTCTGGCTCCTAGTTGTGTTGTCGTGTCATTCCTGAGCAGTTTTTCAGGTGTGGCTGAGCCAGTTGTACTGCAGTGGAGTGCCACTGACGTAAAAAAAAAAAAAAAAAAGGTGTGGTTATTGTGCAGCAATGTTTAGGTGGGTGGTGCGTGTCAGAGTAACATCCATATAAAACCCAAAGTTTCCCAGCAGAAGGAGATGAATGACATTATTCAGTGATTTTAACATTGTGGCTGTTTGGAAAAAGTTGATCAGCACTCTTTATTCTCCTCACAACAAACTGGAGGACAAACGTTAAAGTATGCATGAGCACAGAGCAATAATGGCTACATAATGGTATTCATTGCATCAGTTCACCTGGGATAAAAAAAAACAAAACAAAACAACCTTTACCTGTGAGCTGATGAGGCTTGATTCGCGGGAAGTTTTGCGTCTACAGGAGTGAAAGACGATTACATCCATAATTCAGCGCATTTCTGAGTTCAGAGGCTGCTGTGAAATATCTCTGCAATATCTTAAAAGGATGTCAGATTTAGTTGTTGTTGTTCTCTTATTCATGTAACAATGGGCAAAACTAAAACTATTCAAAAACATTCTGGAGGGTGAAGTCTCTCGTACACTTAAAATTCCTTTTGATCAGCCGCTGACAGTGAATATAAACACGGAAAAATGTTTTCTTTCGTCTTTGCCAGAAATGTAACTCAACTCTGAATACACAACACAGATCCACTTAGATTTACCAACCACTACTAGAACACACAATTTGGAAGATAATACTAATTATTTGAATAATCATCACAAGCTAACACTGTCTTCTTCTTCCATGTTAGGCCTTCGGTTTTGACCCGATGGTGGATTTCTACGTGTCCAAATCTGCGGTGGTGTTCGGAGGCTTTTATCTCTTTTTCTTCACTGAGAAAGTCCTTAAGGTGCTTCTGAAGCAAAGACACGGGGTGAGTTTATACTATATTTAGTTTTATAGTTGAAGAGGACCCATGTTTCCACGCATCTCATGCGCATTTTAAAGGAGTACATTAGAAAAGTTTATGAGAAAATGGAAATTTTAACAAATAAAGGTGTTTTTTGACTTTTTTTTTTTTTTTAAAGAGGTAATGTTCTTGCTGTTAAGAGGAAGTTCTAGCATAGCGTAAATTTAACTCACGTGACTGATTTCTTCTCCAGACGTTATGAAACACACCATCTGACATGAACCAATACTTCTGACTTGCTCCATTTAAACCCCTTTCCAAAGACTTCTCTTCATTTTTTTCTCATAAATGGTCAATGTTTTGCTTCCTCTTCTCATTTGTTATTTAGCAGTTGGTAAACAACAGGTTTTGTTTTCCACTTCTTGTGCTTTCTGATGACACTGCGCAGCAGAGTTTATTCACTCCACAGTTAATGGAAACGATCCACCGTACCTTTTATAAACACATTTTTCAAGAGTTTACTTCAAATTCACGAGACAGTTATATCAAAACACGGCTACTGCTTGTAAGAAATATTCCAGAACTGCCAAAACTGCATTTAAAAGACCTAAGAAACATCTTTTTTTGCTAATAAATTAAACAGCAGGTAGATATTGGCTCCAAAAAAATCCTTAAAGTTCATAACCTTGACTCTACAACTGCATTTTTAAAAAAAATACTAACAAAGCCAAGGTTATGTTGAGCGTTACAGCGAGACAGAAAAAGAAATGAACAAGTGTAGCTGAATAAACAAACTTGTACATTGTGAGCGTCACAGAGCTGGTATTTATGAACGGCTTATATTCAAGGTCAACTCACAAAGACGCAACCCAGTTTAACAAACATAAAACCACGGCTTCAACTGAAGGAGGATGTGGCCTCTTGAGTTTTGTGTAATTTTCTCTTTGTCGCATTCGCTGCCCACAAGTTGGACTAAATGTATGTAGTGACTGAGAATAACTCAGTAAAGACTATTATTAAAATATGTTAGTAATCGGAATATTGTAGGGCTGGTCCAAACAGCACTTTCTGATATCCACATATCAAAATCAAAAATATAGCAAACTTGCTCTCCGGATACCACCACAACGGCCGAATATACGGATATTGGGGTCCAGCCCTATAATAAAGTCCATTCAACACAACAACACAACACTGTCCCTTGTTTGTACTATTTCAAACTAGGAAATCATTTCATTAAATTTCTTATCAATTCTGATGATTCCCCCCCCAATAAATCAGGTAATTCCTTATTACTTCCACTTGTTTTCTCTATAAAATGGCAGAAAATGCTACAAAGTGACCGAGATAATCCAAAGATCACCCAAAGATTCAATTCACTATCAGATTTTGGGAATAAAACATGAAATCCTGGCATTTAAGGAAGCGTTAACCTGTGAAGATTTGGCATTTTTCTTGAAAAAAATTACTTAAGCGATTAATACATTTTGTGCACTAATGATAGCTTGATCGCACTGAGCCCCAGTAAACCATTACTACCACAAAATAGGTGTTTTCTTCCACTTTTAATGATTAGCTGGTTGTCCAAGGTGACGTGTACTATCCATGTATGCATTACATGGTATTTAAAATATAATACCAATACCAACATTTTTTGACCTTGAGTGTGACCTTGAAATATTATCCAAGGTCGAATGTGACATCACCAACAGAAAGCCCCAAAATGGTCGCTTATCTGCACCAAATACCATAAACCTACCGTCCACCCTTTGGAAGGTATACAGCATTTTTGAAAAAGGGACCTTTGACTTCTAGTGGAGCTATTTTTGCACCGATTGACCCCAAAATCGAATCATTCTGAGGAGAAGCCATTCCTAGCTCACATGTAAAATATCAACATGTTCAACTTTAGCACTCGAGCTAGAGGCTGTTCACAGACACGTAAATAGTTAGAAGCACAGTTCCTGATCAGGGGCTACTATAACTATAACAATAAGTAAGAAGAATAATAATATTAATATGTACTGAGTGAGAATACAGAGTGATCAGGCAGCACTAACTACGCTTAAAAGATGTTACCACAATAAATTATAATGATGACACTTGTGATGCCAAATACTTAACAATGTGTGAGTGTTGCAGTGAATCATGGTTGCTTATTCATTTATTTGTAACCCAATAGTTCCTCATGTTAACATGTTAACATTGCTGTCAGACAACTAAACGCTTCCTTTGATCTTAATTGCTTGGAGCCACCGTCATCACAATCACAAACGATGACGTTCTTCTAATCTGTTCATCAGCGGCAGGTTTGACCAGTTTAACGAGATGTTGGCGCTTCAGCACCTGACTCTAGACCGCTCATTTGAATTTTGGAACTACATGTTCACAAAGTAGTGCCTAAATAACGACACACTGTGGTTTGTTCACTGTCAGGTGTTTGTCTTCTCTGTGTGTTTTAGCCAGAGTGTTATGTACAGTAATGTAGTGAACTGAAACACAGAGTGGAATTACTTGTTGTCTGTGATAACTGCTTTACAGTTGACGCTGAAAAACCAATAGACGCAGTCACCTGAACGTTCTTGTTTGCTTTGCTAGAAATATTTGGCTTTGAGGAATCATATATCAATCAGATAAGGATTTTTTTTTTGCAGGTCACTTACAGCTTTTGTAATTATCAGGTTCCAGGTTGTCAGCACACATAAATCCATAAACCCTCTGATCAGTTTCTGGGTGTTTTTTCTGCTTCTGTCATATTTGAACTCACATGTCAAGTCCTGCACTTCTGTAGAAGCAGCACAACCTTGTCTAGAAGTAGGCACAACTCAAAAATGTCTTTTGTGTGGTATAATAAAGTTACAGTACCATGAATCATAAAAAGAATGAAAAAGCAAAAGTTGAATATATGTTTTTACAAAAAAATTCAATCAATCAATATTTATTATCGTGAATATAAATGTGTTTCCACCTGCTAAAGATCTTTTGCTATTTAAATTTCTACAATCTTGGCATATTTTACACTACTCTTCACAACTATCAGAAGGTATTTCACCGTGCTAAATGTGTCTTCCAGCAACATGCTGCTGTTATATGTTTTTATGAGGCCTGTAGATTAAAGTGATCTTGATTTAAATATTTTTAAGCTCATATTTGGTAAATTTTCCTGATGGAACGTTGCATCACACATGACTTGTTCAAAGAACGTAGGAAAGTTAAAAATCTATCATTTTTTTCTGTTTTTACAGTTCCTTGCTATGATAAATGATGTTTATTGTTTTTTGTTTTTTGTTTTTTTTAAAGACAACATGCCTTTTAAATCTGATGGTGGTTTTTGGGGTTCAGAGGAATGACCAAAGTTTTGTACATGTTATAAAACAAGCAGCAACAAAAAGGAAGGCAGAAGAAGATAAAAACTTATAGGATCAGTTTGGAAAATAAAATACATCTAAAATACTAAAATATTGAAGCTACTGAGAGCAAACAAAAGCTATAGAAAGCACGTACGGCTTCAGATTTTTCCATAAAGTGCTGAGAGGAGCGTTGGATTGAAAGACGAAGAAGCTGAGGAGCTGCCTCAGCTAATGCAAGATCTCCTTTACCTGCCAGTTAAACAATTAGCAGCAGTTGTTCTGTAAATCTAAGAAACCTTGAGGAAGAATAAGGGCAGAGAAGTTCTTAAATCAGGTGCCAACCCATGCATGGCTTCATAAACAAACAGAAGAATGGGATGCTAACAGCTACAACAGCTATTTGCAGGGCTTTTTAAGTACCACGACTTCCATTTTTCTTGAATCCGGATTACTGGCTGTCAGTGGGCTACTGCAGGCGTCGCTACAGGCTTATCCCATTAGCTGCTACACAGTCTGTCTGTTTTTTAAATAGTTTTCAGCTGCAAAAATGCTAACTAGATCCTCCAGTGTGCCTCTGTATCCCATTTGATAACAGCGCCTCTTTTCCCCATTTGTCCAAGCGCTGTAGTAGTTGTTTAAACAGTTTTCCAGAGTAGTAACTGGGGCTCACAAGTTGCTCTCTTAAAGGCACAGTTCTGTTTTAACTCACAGATTTTTCCTCTAAAAACCAGCCTGACTGAAATCTCAAGCTTGCAGACATTAATGCAGCCTCGCAGCGCTCCTGGGTTCATTCACAAAAAGAAGCAGCAGGAAGCTCGCGGCTCAGTTGCTCCACCTTGTGGTTAAGTCCGTTTGGAGCCGTGTGGTTCAGCTCCGCTAATTAACAGCTGCCTTGTCGACCTGCTGATCCAATTACAGACACTCTTTCACCCACATTAACGCCTGCATTGCTGCCGTCAGCTTCCACCTTCGGTAACGCCAAATCTGTCAGTGTTGAGAAGGGTAATTCTGCATGAAGAGGAGGAGATGTTCATTCAGTGTCCTTGAGGGAAAAACTCAATGTGTTCTGGTGCTTCGTACTTTAACCGACCTTTACCTGTGACTTTGTGGTACATGTGGAACAAGCTTTAAGCCGCTGTCCTTGCAAACTTTAGTTAAAAAAAAGTCACAGAATCACAGGGGACTTGCAGACATTTTTGTTTTTGGCTGAAGATCTCAACCTGGGAGTAAAAGCTCCCTGATAGGGTCAGTACAGGGTAGGAAAGACAGAAGATTTCCCCTTACTGTGGTTTTATATAGCTCTGATTGGACCACTTTATGCAGCATTTACTCAGATTACATCACATCGGTGTCAACTCATATCTGGACGACCTTTTTAGCTGTTATTCTGCAGTCACAAAAAGACAAAAGGGACAAAAGCAGCAAAGAGCATCTTGATGTTTTAAATTTCCTGTCTTCACTTGTCAGGAACAAATTTTTATCCAGTAACGAATTAATCAAAATGTGGAATTTAAGGTCCTTTCTGATGTAGAATTTGTAACATTGCTGCTTTATCAATCTGGTTAAGGGACTGCATTCTGTCAGACAGAGGTCACTTTTTCCCAGTAATGGTAAAAAATTTTACAAAACACATCAAGTACAGATAAAAGTAGAGTCGCACCAAAAAAGCCATATCCAATGAAGGAAAAAGAACAAGTGAAATAATAGAAAATAGAGGTTAAAAACATAAACACAAGGCTAAAAGAAATAATAGAAAATAGAGCTTACAACCAGAAAAACAAGGCTAAAAGTAATAATAGTAACAGCAAATAAATAATAATAAATAAATCAGGGTTAAAGGGAATAAAACAAACAAGTGTCATCAAATAAATCTTTCCTTGAAGCTTGTTGTTGCAGTACACTCAGAGGAAAGACTCCTACAAACAGCTGGAAGCAACTAAATTCCAGCCTTGTTCATGTAATAATTATTATTGGTGAGCCTTACCAACCTGAATGTTGTCTTCCTCTCAATAAAATTTTATTCCTGTTGACATTTCAGTTTGTGATATTTTGGACCAGTATTGGTACTGAAACGTGCAACAAGTCTCCCCCGAATAGCTTCACACAACTTGAAACACGTCGCTTCCCCGTCTGTTCATGTGGCTGCAGTTCAGACTTGTGTTGAAATCTTACCAGGTCCGACCCAGTAAGACTGCCGTCACAACTTTTACAATAAAGTGAGCAGTGGGCTCATTCAGACGTGAAGCCAGCACGATCAGATGTCTTCAGATTAACCGAAAGGAGTTTGTGTCTGACAAGGGGGCTTTATTGATTGGGATTTCTGTTTTTCTTTGTCGCTCAGAGCCACGGTCACAGTCACTACCCCGGCGCAGATCGTTACTCGACACCCAGCAGCGACGTGGAGGAAGGCGAGAAGGAGAAGCTGCAGCAGAACGGAGAAGCCAGCAGTCTGGCTCTGGGGAAGGTGGATGCAGGGGAGGGAGAGCTGATGCTCAGCCCTGCTCAGACACCACAGGTAGGATTCAACAAGAGAGGACGACATCTTTGGGTTTACTGTTTCTGAATTTTATGAATGTATTCTCACATTGAGTTCTGTCCTGAACTGTAACACAAATATCACAGAAAATTAAGGTCATATTTGGTCCAATAGTCTATCAAACTTATCTAGTGTAACTGTTTGTTGGCATATGGTTTTTCAATAAGCAACATTCAGACATAATTTGTGACTCTCGTTGAAGTGGTCACATCTCAACCTGTGAGAAGGGGTTCGAAGAAAGGCTGGAAATTAGAGATGCACATTTTGAACAGTTTACTTAATCCATTAGCAGGAGCCTTATCAATCAATAACCCATTAATCAATAACAAAAAGTAACCCTTGTGGACCTAATCCTGTGTCCTGATGTTGTCATTTTGAACGCAGGCTGCTTTCATTGCAAAGCTGTTATTTTGCACTTCAGTTCGCCTCCAAAATAAGAGCTCTGGCCGATGAGCGTTAAGCGTCACATTAGACTTTGTCATGGTGGCCCTTTACGAGCTAAACTCCCACGATGCTCTCTGCAGCACAAAAGAACAGCTAGTTCGAGTGACCACTTATTGAATTTCCCTTCTGGGATAAATAAAGTATTTTTCATTCTTTTATTCATTCATTCATTTCACTTCCTCCAGTCACTGCAGTGGTAAACAGTAAGAGGCTCCACCTAGTGGCATAATTAGGCACTACAGCTAACCTATGATAATTTTTTTCACATCCGTGTCCATCAACTTCTGCCGTATCAGCTAATCTATTTTTGATGCATTAAGTTATTCACTTAACCAATTAGCATTATTATGTAGAACTACTGATTTATCTGATCATTCATCCAAAAATCAGAGAATAAATTTCTGTGTTTGTCACTTAATTGTCCTCTATAAAGCAAATAGGAAAAAATAACGTGTAGTGTACAGACATGTAGCGGAGGGAGTTAATAAGTCAAACTTTTTAGACATTATTTTAAGGCTCTGCTTCTTTTTTCATTTTGTGAAATAAGTTTTCTCTTTTTTTTGCCTTCATGGTATCTTGCCATGGCTGAATTACATCAATAGATTAAAAAAAAATTAAAATCTGCACATCTGTTTTCCTCACTCCGCTCTCTCCAGGACTCCCAGAGTCCCGACAGCGGTGGTCGGTCCGGCAGCAGCGGCGGCGGCTGCTACTGGCTGAAGGGTACGTCCTACTCTGACATCGGCACGCTGGCCTGGATGATCACGCTGAGCGACGGCCTGCACAACTTCATCGACGGCTTGGCGATTGGAGCCTCCTTCACCGCCTCTGTCTTCCAGGGCATCAGCACCTCTGTGGCCATCCTGTGTGAGGAGTTCCCCCACGAGCTGGGTGAGTCGGGGTGGGACTGTAGGTGTTTATTCATAGCTAACCCACTGAACCTCAAAACCAACTGGCAAGTTTAAAAAGTATGTTATCTTTAAAAAAATTGCCAAAATTATTCCATTTATTAGAGCCAGAAAGTGTAAAAACAGTAATTAAACAAAGCATCTGTAGCATCTGCTGGGAAAATTAACCAAATCTAGGCTTAAAATAATGATAATTAATTACATTTTAACATTTTAAACACAGAGCAGAGAGGAGACAAGTATGAAAACAAAACAGATTGACAGCAAAATAAAACGTATTTGATCAATAAAATAAATACAGCTTGATTTAAAAACAGTAATCAGAAAATCAAGTTGTCAGCCAGTTGTTGGAAGATACATTCAGCTTGGTGAAACACCTTTTTTAGTTTCTGCAAAATAAATAAAAGAAATTTGACTTTTTGACATCAGTGAGTAAAAAAGAGAAAGAAAAAAAAAAGCTCAGAAACTGCTCTGAGTTCAGGGGTTATCAAGCTGCAAGGGATTTTATTTTGTGTTTTCAGTACAAAAAAACAGTTTTCTAAGAACTTCTTTGCATTTTTGCATTTATTTGCTTTTCCGAACACAAAATACTCAAAGTGTCAGTGTTTGGCAGAAGCTTGTAGCAGCACTGATTTGTGTTCTTCTGTCTTTGTGCCTCCAGGAGACTTTGTGATCCTGCTGAACGCCGGCATGAGCATCCAGCAGGCTCTCTTCTTCAACTTCTTGTCAGCCTGCTGCTGCTACCTAGGGATGGGCTTTGGCATCCTGGCCGGCAACAGCTTCTCCCCCAACTGGATCTTTGCCCTGGCAGGAGGAATGTTCCTGTACATCGCTCTGGCAGACATGGTCAGTGTTTGTGGATTAGAGGATGAGGCGAACGCAGCCGGGTGTTTGGTTGTTGTTAAGAGTCTCTGAAGACTCCTTAGGATGTTTTATACGAAGGTCTCATGCACTTGAAGAGGTTTTTTGTTGGCTGGCAAGGTAAAGAAGCATTTCTCTTGTTTAGCAAACCACCTAAAAATACATATTGTGGGTGAACATGTGATGATGAAGTTTGTTTGATTACACCCAGGATGCAACATATCAAACAACAACATAAATTCAGATCTTCAGCCATATATGTGTATATATATATGTGTGTGTGTATAGATATAGATAGATACTTTTTTTAAGTTAAACAGTAGAATACTATAATGTTCAAAAATTCAAAAGCAATGAAAATAACAAAACACATCTGCAAATATCTGTAAAATTATATATATAGATTAGTTGATTTAGCAATTTTACACTGGAACAGTGTGACTTTTTTACACTCATTGTAAAAGAACAAAGTACCGTTTGTCATTTGTAGAACAACAGATTTTTATGGCCATCAATTACGATTATTCTAAAAAAAAAAATTACGGTTAAGGTGTAAATTGGGACCTTTTTCTATGGTTTTACTCTGAAATAATGAAAATTTTGCAGATTTAAATGCAGTAATTTATTTTAGGATCAAATGTAAAAAATATATATAAAGGTAAATATCCTGCTTTTGATATTGATTTTAATGACAGTGTGTTTTTTCTGTACAGTTAAAGTGTTCATTTTTGTTTTTCTCTGTGATTTTACACATTTTTATCTGTGATTCAACAAAAAAGGGAAAATCTGTAAAATAATATTAACTGTAAAAAATTACAGTTAAAGCCATTTTTAAAAAATGTGCAATTACCACATAAGTATAAATCAAGCGTTCTTGTGCAGATCTGTGCTTTTTGACTCTCTCTGTTTCCTGCGTCTCAGTTTCCAGAGATGAACGAGGTGAGTCGTGAGGAAGAGGACGCCGGCGGCAGCAGCTTCCTCCTCACCTTCGCCATCCAGAACGCCGGGCTGCTGACGGGCTTCGCCATCATGCTGCTCCTCACCACGTACTCCGGACAGATACAGCTTGGCTAGCAGCGGATCCCCTGGACCGGAACTGGCTCTGAAACGGAAGGGAGGGAGGGAGGCTGAAACTTTTTCCTCGGTTTTCAGGACCGTGTAGTTGTGCGGCAGGTACGCACACCTGTGAGAATACCTGAGCAGCTGCTCTCACGCAGCTTCGACATGCAGTAGAGTTGAAGGCAGCAGCCTTCGCTCCTCCACTGTTTCTTCACAGCTGCTGCCTGTAAAAGTCCACAAACAACCAAACAGTTCACGTGCAATATTCACCCAGTCGTCGAAACCCTGGACTACCGATCAGCCATCTGGTTTTTTTCATCTCTCATCGAGCCTGTTGAGATTCAGAGTATTTATGTCGCTAATCCTCTGTGAAAAGCACAATCAGGTAACAGCAGCATCATCCTCCATATCTCCTTCTGTTTTCCATTCCATACCAAAAACAGAACTTCCAGGACCTTAACTGGAATTATTATCAGCAACAAACTGACTTCCAGCTGGACTTTGTTTGTTGATTTTTCTATTTTTTTACACATGAAAAATGACTTTTGAAGACCAAATATGGGCAGAAGGTTGAAGGGCTACGCGGTGAAGTTTGGGAGACGACCTCCTCCGTACGGACTCCTCGGCATGAAACCCCGAACGGGTCGGACATGTAAAGTGATAAATGTTAGTGGCTTTATCCAGATCAGACTCACCCAGTTTACCATCTGTGCCCTTCATTAATATAGCGTTGAATAGTTCTAGCTTTTTCTATTCCTTGTATTCTTGAACTCAAAGTGCAGATTTGTGGTCTTTGCACATCCCATTGACCATTTTTCCCAGAACGATTTATTCTTTTACAGCCTAGTAGTGGTTTTAAACAGAATACTGTAAGCTGAGTCATAATAATCACGCACACGTCGCCTACTCATCCGTGACCTTACCCATATTTATCATCTATGATAAGAGCAGAGATATTAGGTTATATGCTGCATCTTGTTACTTAGGCTTGTTGTAGCAAACATCCAGTTCTCTCTGAGTTACAACACGTGGACAAAAGTATGTGGACGATCCTCAGGTGGTTTTAGACCTTTGTTGTTGGCATCCAAAAAAAAGAAATCTGTCTTTGATGAATTATAGATCAGTTAACAGCACATATGAGGACTTGTGTAACTATCTGGGTGAAAATATGTCCCAAGTTCTACTCATGCTTATTTAATAACACACTTTTCTGTTGGTTTCAATATTTAGTGTAAAACTACATTTTCTCCAGATGACTTCAGTAACTTAATTTGTAAACAATGAATCATTCTAAATCGAGTGGGGTGATTTTATATTCTTTGCTAATCAATCAAATCTTAAATTCAGTTGTTGTTTTTTTAAAACCGAAAATGGCAAAAAAATATTGTTCGTTGCAGACACAGAGCTCTAGTTTCTATAACATGAGGGGGCCTCTTTGCACAAAAAAACATGAAGAAATTCAATTATTTCTGGCTGGAAGAACAACATCAGGAGCCTTATCTCTGATTTTCTGGACACTTTAACATTTCCCAAGATAAGACAAGTTTTACTTACAAATTGCCCGTCAACACACTTTCTGTACGTTTTTTCACGCATTTAAATTTGAGGCCTTTTGAACGATACTATCTCAGGAATTACTACAGATTAAAGTCGTAAATTTTCACTGTTATTTCTCATCATGTCATCGATTTAGAATCGGCAGTGTTGGACAAATCAAATCAAGATCCAATATACTCTGACTATATGTGAAAAATTTAAGCCATCATGAAAAGTCCCATCTTTAGTCGCACGTTAACAAAGTAATTGATTACGCAGAAGTTAGCTAGTGGCATTGTCTGAACCACATGTAGCTGCATGCTGCAATAATACAAAAACAAAACATCCATCCATTATCTATACAGTGCTTAATCCTCACTAGGGTCATGGGGGGACTGGAGCCTATCCCAGCTGACACACTCACATTCACACCTGTGGACAATTTAGAATCACCAATTAACCTCCACATGTTTTTGGATTGTGTGGGAGGAAGCCGGAGAACCCGGAGAGAACCCACAGGGAGAACATGCAAACTCCAAAACAAAACATATAAAATACTATTTATTATGAAAAACTTGGTCTCAAAAACGTAAAAAGTTTCGTTGAACTTTCATAACTGATTGAGCCGGTATGACAAGTTGTACCACCAAAATAAGAATATTGTAGATCATCTAAACAGAGTGGCTGGGATAAGCTCCAGCCCCCGGCGACCCTAATGAGGATTAAGCGGTGTATAGATAATGGATGGATGGATCTAAACAGAGTTCTGAATCTATGACATTATGACAAAATGCAGTAAAAAAATTCTGTCTTTTTATCTTTAGTCGTTCCTGAGATGCTGTGGTTCAAGCAGCCTTAAATTTCAACGTGTGAAAAAACAAGCTGAAAGTGGGTCGACGGACTATTTTTAAAAAGGCGTTATTGCAATAAGATATATGAAGCTGAAATTTCACAAATATATCTAACAATATTGTCTGCTCTCAAGTTTTGAGGCAAAATCAAGAGATTTTTGAGCAGACATTGTTCTTAAAATGTGAAACCTGAACAGTTGAGGATGTTGCAGCAGCAGATTTCGATGCAGCCTTTGGAAGTCCACATACTTTTGGCCACGTAGTGTAATTTAAACCTCAGTTAAAAACGGTTTATGTTGTGAATTATTGGTGGTTTGTCGGAGCCTTGGGGGGACTAGTTTGTTGGTGTTCCTCATCGTTTTGTAATGTGACTGCTTTCACTTTAACAAACTCTAATGTCAGTGCTGTTAAGGATGAAAACGAGCATTTACACCAGAGCGACGCCGCCCTTCGTTTTACTGTGTACGCTGTAAACCGGTGTAGGTTTATACGCTGTTGCTCCACATTTATTGATCACATTTATTGATATCTTACGGATGGATTTCTCAGATTTCTCTTGGTTCAGTATTCAACCATCAGCAGAGATTTAAGTGATCCATCAGCAGACGCTACATACTGTTTATTAGATTCAAAGTGTTCTAGATTAGAGCTGTAGAGTATTATTTATTAGAGGTAGAAACTGGAACCCATAATAGGTTTACTATGATATTAATTATTCCTGGAAGGAGAAGGCAAGCCATTAAAGCGGGTACCACGTGTACAGTGTTACTGCTGCTGGATTTGTATGACATGTGGGATTATTTATTGTTGTTTAAGCCATAAAATATTTATTTTCTGCTTCACACCCAAGATTTCAGCTCAGCTTTACGCCGCAAGCCACGAAAACAGACAAAATCCGGCCTTCTTTGTTTGTTTTGTGTTTGTTTTCAGTGTTTTATTTGGAATAAACGGGACAGCTGACAGAAAAACCATCGCTGCATTGCACATTTTACTGGTTTGTTAAAAAAACAGCAACAACTGAAGCCACAGCATAAACACACACACAGACAACAGTTAATGATCCAAACCTCAGACAGTAAATTCAGGAACACACAGACAATAAAAACTGATTTATTGGTGCAACAACTCACATTTATTTCTGTTTCAGCATCACAAGGCCGCCGCCGATTGACTCTCTGGAGGTTTTAATCATTTCAACTCTCGCTCAGATCATTTAAAAAAAATATTGTACCCAAATGTAATTAATGGGAATCCTCGTTAGCCTTCTGTGTGTGTGTCATGGAAAAGTTTTTATAAACATCCTTTTCTAAGAAACTCATGTGTTGTTGTGTCGTTATTGAGTGATATTGTGTTGGTTTAACGTCTCATTTCACCTTTTAAGAATGTTATGCTATTTGTCATTCCTCATAATTGTAAAATAAAACTATTACAAAAAAAAAAAAAAGAATCTTGCCTTCCGACACGTCCACGGGTTCGTCTGCTCATTGGCTACAAGTTTACAGCTTCAGAGAGTGTCTGCAACCCGACTGGTCGA